ATGAATAACAAAGTGACAACAAATACATATCTATCCACAAGTGAACCTAAAAATCAAATGAATAAAAAACCTGATGAACAGAACAGACTGGTGAATGTAATAGAATCAGGGGCACGGAAAGGAAGCAGACTGACAATTCTCAGGGGGAAAGGGTTGTGGGGGGTGTGGGAAGAGATTGGACAAAGAGCTTACATCTATGGATAAGTTGGGCAGGGGGAAGGCCTGAAGTGGGGTGGGAACCTGGTGGAGGGGAGCGATGGGGGGGAGCGGGGAGAGGAACATCTGTAATAATCTGAACAATAAAGATTTAAAAATGAATAAATAAAAAATAAAAATTTGTGAATACAGTTCCAGAATATCAAGCATACCTATCAAAGAGTGGAGGGGATGAAGTAGTTTTAAGTAATGTTGTGGCTAATTGTTGCTGTAAATGACAGGTCCCTGCGTATTAGCTTTGGAAGCAATAGTAGATATTATTTCAAAACCAACAATCTAGTCCTAACCGGTTTGGCTCAGTGGATAGAGCGTGGGCCTGCGAACTGAAGGGTCCCGGGTTCGATTCCGGTCAAGGGCATGTACCTTGGTTGCGGGCACATCCTCAGTGGGGGTTGTGCAGGAGGCAGCTGATGGATGTTTCTCTCTCATTGATGTTTCTAACTCTCTCTCTCCCTTCCTCTCTGTAAAAAATCAATAAAATATTTAAAACAAAACAAAACAAACAAAAAAACCCAACAGTCTAGGATATGCGGTTGCATGTTTTGTTAAGCAACTCAGCAGTGTTAAAGCAGGTGCCTGCTCTCGTGTCGTTCTGGTCTGCTATCTTTACTGTGTTGACAGTACCTCTTCTCATAGTTGCAGAATAGCTACTGTGGCCCCGCACCACATCCTCACCAAAAACATCCGAAAAGGAAAGAAGAGGGAGGACAAAAGAGCTCTCTTCATGGTCTGGGTTAGACCCCAAAAGTCTTGCCCAAGTTGGAGGAAAAGCATAAAGAACCCCTTGAACTCAGATCAAGTTTGTTTTTACTTGGATTTACTCCAGAAGCGCCTAGTAAACCATACAAAGGCTGTTGCTTTGGGTCTAAAACAGTGATGGCGAACCTATGACGCGCGTGTCAGAGGTGACACGTGAACTCATTTTTTTGGTTGATTTTTCTTTGTTAAATGGCATTTAAATATATAAAATAAATATCAAAAATATAAGTCTTTGTTTTACTATGGTTGCAAATATCAAAAAATGTCTATATGTGACACGGCACCAGAGTTAAGTTAGGGTTTTTCAAAATGCTGACACGCCGAGCTCAAAAGGTTCGCCATCACTGCTCTAAAATGTGGTGTGTGCCTTTGCCCCTCACAGAGGGAGTCCTGAAGGTCACTCATGCTGAGATAGGCCCCGTAGTGTTGTCAGCCTAGAACACTATTTTGCATCCACTGCGTTTGATAACACCAGCCACTTCAGTGTACAAACAACTTAAAAAGCCACCCAGACAACAGTCTGCGACCCATCCTCCATGCACTTGCCTCTAATGACTAAATTTGAAGGCTTGGAATGTTTGCAGCGTCTGCATGGGAATATCTTCCCTATCTGTGGGGCCAGCTCACTCTCTTGGCTAGAAGTTCAACCCTTGAAAGCTGAACAGCAGGTGGGCTGAGAAAAAGGGAGTGAAGACTTTGATCACAAGAAACAATAAATGCAAAGGTATGTTGGTGCAACACAGTATAATCTGTTCAGGGCATCGCCAGTGACCTGCAGTGGCTGGAGTACAGGCCTGAGGAGGGAGTGGGAGAACGTAAGACTGAGAGGGAGCCAGAGGCCAATGGCATGCACTGAGATTGATAGAGGTGAACACAATGTGCCATGAGAGCCCAGAGGAGGGTGACGGGCCAAGAAAGGCTTCCCGAAGTCTTGGACCTGAGTCCAGCACAGACCTGGTGTTCAGCCAGGGCCTGGGGACAGGTTGTGCAGGTGAGTTATGCCCATGCCATCGCCATCATGGAATACTGTGACTATTGCCTCTACTCTAGACGGATTCCCTGGCAGAGAAGGCACATGGGCTTTCCAGGGAGAGCTAATACAAAGGCCACCAGAGAAGAGAGAGATGGAAACACAAGTGGGGATGAGGCCAGAGCATGACGGGCCTTCTGCGGCAGGCAAGGCATTTACACTCATCCTGCAGGCCGCAAAGGGAGGAGCCAACCCCTCCAGCTCAGAGATGCACCTGCAAAGCTAAACCCCTGTTCAGCCCTCCCACAGACCCCGGTACTTCTTAAGGGCAGGACACTGAGAATGTAGAAGCCTGATGGTGAGACCAAAGACCTGGCAGAAGTAACTGTTGGTGTTTTATTTCTTTTTTTAAAAAGAGAAAAAATAGATGAGGGGGGAAATAAAGAAAGGAAGAAGGGAAAGAAGGCGAGGGGGAATAAGAAAGGGAGGAAAGAAAAATATAAAGGAAAGAAAAAATGAGCAAGAGAAAAGTAAAAACAAATGTGGTGACAGACTTGGAAAGGCTGGAGAGTGGCTTCAGAGATCCTACTCGTCACCATGGTTACTGATTTGTTGTATGCTTCCCCATTTTGCTTGAGATATTTCATTTTCTAAAAGAAAAATGAACATAGGTGGAAATGTAAATAGACATGATCTTTTTGAAAAGATATTTAAGTGATCAAAAGACCCAAAATGTTCATTTTTGACTCAATAATTCCATGCCAGGACAGGCCTGGATTGATGTATAAGAAATCTATTTTCATCGCCTCAAGTGCAGTGACCACTCCTCACCTGGCAGGCTGTGGGGGCGCTACATCGACTTCCCAAATCACAGAAAGCTGTTTCAAGGGAGGCCTTTCCAAGTATGCCATACCTGCTCTGGTGCAATGAGGAGTATTCTTAACACACTGATTTCTTCTTGATAATTCTTATTATGATTAACAATCGAAGTCGTGTGAATAGATTCATTGACCCAAGAAGCTGCTGAGGTGCGAGGCCCTTGCCCTGGAGAGCACCTGGTTCTGTTAGGAAGGATAGCCAAGAGAGTGAGCTGGCCCCACAGATAGGGAAGATATTCCCATGCAGACGCTGCAAACATTCCAAGCCTTCAGGCTGAGTGTAAATGCCTTGCCTGCCGTCAAGCCGTGTTTGGCCCCTCGGCCTCCTGTTCTCTCCTTCCCTGCAGTCGGCTGCCATGTCTCTCTTCCCCTCACCTCTCACTAGATATTGCCCATCTAATCCGAATAAAACCAAACCAGACAACCAGGTGTGTCCACAGGCTGTCTAAGGTAAGTTATGTCTGAACGAGGGCTGGCGGGATGCCTCCAACCTCCGGGGAACTTGACAGAAATGCTCTCCTGGTTCCACCGCAATCCTTCCTAACAGAACCTCTCAGCCCACAAGCTGATTCTCATTGTTCAAATGTGAGAATCACCATCATACAGACTCTCCTACAAAAATACCCATGAGCTCGAGGCCACAGAGAGGCAAGGCAGCAGGCTGCTGCCATCCGGCTGCTGCCAAGGCAGGCCTGTGCCCTGTGCCATGCCCGGTCTCGATATTCCAAATATCATGCGGGCTCACTGACTTCCAGTGTTTGAACTTGGATCACTTGGGTGGGTGGGGTAGAGGAGGGGAGAGCGACTTCCCCGCCACTGTCTTTAGGTGAGCGAGATTTCTGATGACTGCCCTGTGTAATTAACATCACCTGGTCTTAGGGCCTGGGGAGGAATAGGGTAAGAGTTATCCATATTTTCCAAATATGAGACTGTCTGCACAGACTAATTGACTTTTACAAAATAACACAATATTGACCATTTACCAGAGATAAATTAAAGTGGCTATACCCTTTTATGATATCCCTTTGGGAACATTTAATAGTTTTATGATGCTCAACTAAAATAAATTTCAACATATTTACTACATGCAGTTTTAATTATTTTAAATTATTACTTTGCTCATGTTTTATAAGTATGTCTACTGCTTCTTCCCCTTAAAGAGATTTGCAGATTATCATGCATTTTAAGTGACAAGCCTCCAGATGCCATAGATGGTGATGGTCAACTAGGACACTCACTAAAAGGCTCATCCAACATGAGTACCATTCTTAGATGTCTATTAGTACCAGTTACAGCCTCACACAACAACAAGATACTCCAGAGTGAAAATACTCATATATTTGTATAATGCAAAGAGAAATACAGATATAAATCCTCAACACAGAAGGAACATTAAAAAAAGGTAGCATTATAAGCAAAATTATGTAGTACTTGCAGAATTTAGTCTTTCAATGTAAGATTACAATGTGTCTAACAAAGAAATACTATTTAAAATTATAGTTCTCATTAGTACTTTAAAATAACTGTCAGTAGAACAGCACAGCTTAACCTAGCAAACATTTTAAGGAAACATTTGTCTCCTAGAAGTAGAGTATCATCATATGCCATTCATTTATACCATGAACAAAAGAACAATTTTCAAAGTGGAAATTCATAAGCCAGAATAAAACTGGACTCCTCAAAGCACAAGCTGTTTCCATAAAATTGTTTTAATTTTTATTGGCAAAAAAATAGCTAAACAATTTTGATTTTGTACTCTGCTTCTTGGAGCCCCTGCCCCCCATCAGTGAACCACAGCAGTACATACAGAAACATGCAATACTGTATTTTCTCCACCATCACTAACCAAAACACCTTTTAACTTTTGAAAGCTACAGTTTCACAGAAATATTTCCAGTCAAGATTGGTACCATGCAGAGAGCAGCTGCCACTGGCCTGCATTTTCCAGGAGTACACAGCAACCGGAAACCACCCCTCCTCACTGCCTGACACACAGCTGCCTGCTCGTCACTCCCGCTGCTGCTCTTTAAATTCGTTTTCAATACCGAACAGAGTTTTCAACACTTTCCAAGAACCAGAGCAGCACAACTGACCCACTCCACAGCTGGCAATTCAGAGGGAACTGGACAATCCCCCACCCCCTCACCCCACCCCACCCGCCCCTCCTCTGGCTTCCAACAGAAGACCCTCAAGAAATGGAACTTGCGAAGTCCTGTGGGTTCCTTTACTCCACTGCAAAGTATAATGCCACTTGAGGTTGTCAAAAATAGCTTCTGTAGAAAACTGGCCATGGTCTGTAGGAAACGTTGCATGAAGAAAATTAGTTTAGCCTTTATTTTCAAAAGTAATAACATGAAATAGAAGACATCAGTACCAATACAAAGACCGCGGGGCCTATTTTCAGGAAGAAAATATATATTTAGGAGAACAACGAGCTGAGCAGGGGTGGGGCTGGAAATGGAAACCCCTTTCCCCCTAAAAGGAGTCTGTACAGGCCACGCGCTAACGCACTTGGAGTCATTTCGAAGGCAGTTTAGACAATTAAAGGGGAGCAGAGAGGAAGAACGACGTCAGCGTCCAAGCCGAAGGGCAAGGCTGGGCGGGGGTGTCGGTGGCGGGAGAGCCCTTACAACCCGATGCCTTTCCAGTCGCAGGGGAGGGCGGCCTGGGCGGCCCGGGGCCCCTGGCAGCAGGGGAACTGGGCCCGGAAGCAGTCCCGGAGCTCCCGGTTGAAGAGGAAGCACACGACGGGGTTGATGCCGGCCTGCGCGAAGGTCAGCCACACGGAGGCCGTCAGGTAGGCCTGCGGCACGGCGCCCGGCCGCACCAAGACCCGCAGGTAGCTGGCCACGACGTAGGGCCCCCAGAGCAGCAGGAAGAGCAGCGTGACGGCGTAGAACATCTTGCACAGCCGCTTCTCCGTCTTGAACTCCTCGAGCACGAGGAGGCGGCGCGCGCCCCGGGCCGGGCCCCGCGGAGCGGGAAGCCCACGAGCGCGGGCGGCGTGGGGCCGCGGCCGAAGCCAGCGGTCCAGTGGCGGCCGCCTGGCCGGTGGCGCCGGGGCCGTGGAAGGTCCAGTCGTGGCTGACGGCGGGCACCAGGCGCGCGGGCCGCATCTTGCGGCGGTCGTGGATGAAGAAGAGCAGGCGGAGGTAGACGAGGTGCGTGGCGCCCACCACCGCGGCCAGCAGCAGCAGGAAGCCGAGCGCGCCCGGGGCGCCGTCGGGCCGCTGCTCCAGGGCGCAGGGCGCGTCCTCGTCCTCGGGCCCGCCGTCCAGCACGGGCGGGAAGGCGGCGGCCAGCGCCAGCGTTCAGGCGGCGCACACCAGCATGGCGGCGTCGGTAGCCGAAAGGCGCTCGGCGTTCAGCGGTTTGCGCGATGCCAGGTAGCGGGTGACGCCACGCCGAGCAGCAGGAAGGCGCGTGGAAGCAGAAGAGCGCG